AAAGGAGTTAGACCTGTCAAATTCACAAGGCCTCTGCTGGCCATGTATTCGTAAGTGCCTGCACGTAGGATGACTGCCATCACCGTCAGTTGTGAAGTTACGAGATGTCCTTCTCAGAAGCCTACACAAAAACTTCCTCTCTGGATAGCCCTGTCCCAACACACACACATACAGTACCATCACTTTTCTGTCTGTGAAAAACATGTTACAAAAAGCTATCTGAGGTAAGTTTGTTGAGTTTATTATCTGCACGTTCTTTCAGATTCCCCCTATAAACAGACTTCTCACTTTGCAAACTCTTACCATCCCCTTGACCCCTTTCTCCCAGTGCTGGCACTTGCCATGTTTGCAGTGTAGCACCAGATCAGCTCTGGGATTGCACACAGCAGATGTACCACACCTACCCATGGATCAGGGGCAGCTTGTGCAGGGGTCCTGGAGCATGGGACGCTGTGTGGCAGCCTGGAAGTATGTGCCAAAAGCCACGTTCTTCCCACCATCAGCTTCCTGCTCTGGGCCCTTCCTCATGCCAAGACCCAAAGTCAGGATTGAGGGTACAGCATTGAGGGAAACATCTGCTGAGCTGGTGACCAGGAGAGGAAAGGATAGGAGAGGCTTAACGTATGTTAATCACATAACCCGGCACAAAGATCTCCCAACCCTTCTACCCTAAGCCATTAGCTTAATTAACTATCAACACATTTGCTTTCTAGTATATAGTATTTATTTACTGTGCTTTGTTTTGTGTTGCTCAAAGGTCAAGCTACGTACAGTGGCAGAAGACCTATGAATCCCTCTCCGATATGGTAGTGCCTCGCTCCACCAAGTAAGTGAAATTCCAAATGAAGGTCCCTGTTTGTTTCAGAGATCCCTGCCATATCAGCCCCTCAAATTGCTGATCATGGAAGGAATCACTTGTCTAATGCATGGGCTCCATGTTAATATATAGATTTGCCCAATCTCATTCTCAACTGAAATCAGAAATTACTCTGCTGAAGGGAAGTGCAGATGAAAGAAAAAAAATCATCACTGTTTTTTTTACAATTAGCTTGTTGTTCCCTTTTCCGGTAATCTACTTCTTTCTACTTTCAACCAGGGCCTTTGTTTTTTGTGTAAAACAGACAAACAATTTGTTACAGTAATCCAGGCATAATTCAGACACATGCAATCACATACAACTTTATGGAAACTACTATTTACAAAGATCAAACGCTATCTTTGCATCTTTAATTGCTTCCTGCTGTAGAATAGGATAATTCAGTGTACTGTCATTTGCATTAGCAAGTGCCATATTAACTTATCTTTTCACCTGGAGTTAAAAATCCTTCCTAGGAATTAAATATTCCACTGCTCAGCTCCCGCAGACCATGAGGTCCAATCCAGGGCCCAAGAGGAGACAGTGCCATTATCTGAAATGGAAGAAGTGGAAAGCACAGAGAAAGAAGAAAGCTGTGTGCTACTGCCTGTCTCAAAACCACACGTACATGGGAAGTGGGGGAACGTTACCAGGAAACACAGAGAAATCAGGCAGGCAGAACGTGTGTGTACTACGACGGGTTCAGGAACTCAACTTGTGGGAGTTCTACATTAGAGACAGCGTGGCTGGAGCTAGTAAAGTCTTTGTTCCCTATTTCAGTCACAGCAGTTCTTGAAAAGCAGGGTGTTGTTCGGCATCATAAATGAAAAAAAGAACTGCAAAAGAGAAAGGTAAAGAAAGCATGAGGGATTTGCTTTGTCAAATCACAGCAGTGAATTTCCCTCCCACAGAATGATTGCTGAGGATGCAGAGGGAGGACTCTTCACCGTGACCCTATTTAGAAAAGTGATGGATGACTTCAAGGCTAAAGCCAGGGAGAACAGGTAAGAAGCACTGATTGCTAGGCAGGGCAGGCTAGCAGACAGATGATGAGGATAAGGCGAGGCTTGTTCTGTGTGCGGTACAGCTGAATCCATCACTGATTTTTAGGACTTCTTCACTGTTTGGGCTGCTGCTGGCCCTAAAGCCACTGAGAAGGCAGGGTGGGAAGGAGCTGTGGTAGCAGATACAGTTACCCTATTTAAGCACCAAACTACAGATCCTGGAGTTGTCCTTCCTGCTGTCACGCTACTGACAGCAGGAAGCTTGCTTTCTGGGGGTGGCTTCAACTCCCACCCTCCACATACTTTAACTGGTTAAATGGCTAGCAACTTTGAAACATCCCGTACCTGCTTCTCCAGAGGCAAAAGAAATGAGTGTGCATATTGCTTGGACTATGGCTTGTGAGAGAAATGTAATTCAATTGTAGGTTCATGGTTCGAGAATTTTATTTTGATGAGAAGGAACTGAAATGTGAAAAGGAAGAGCTGATGAAATTAGCTTCCGATAAGAAACAACAATATGTAAGTAGCACATCAAGTTGACAGCCCACATAATGACAACCTTTGCTACCGGTGTGCCTAACCTCTCGCTCAGAAATGGCTTTATGACTCCTGTGAGCTCCATTTAGCCCAGAAAACTGGAGCACAGGATAGATAACACAACGTCACCCGAGTTTCTGATAAACTGGGAGCCACTAACAGGCTGCCTGAGAATTACCTCAGCAGCCCATGATGGCTTCAGTGGTGGTAGCTGTGAGCTCCTCACGCAGCGAGGGGATCACAATACTGTTGTGTCTGTTCTCATAGGGCCCGTTACTGCGCTGGCTGAAAGTGAACTTCAGCGAAGCATTTGTGGCTTGGATTCACGTCAAAGCCTTGAGAGTTTTTGTTGAATCTGTCCTGAGGTAAGCGGGTAAGCATGCAGCGCCGGCAGAGATTCCTGTAGAAGTCAAAATGTACAGCTCCCTTCCTGGGGCAGTTCCTTCATGGGAGGGAACAACCCTTACACACCACGCTCCAGAAGCTCACAGGAGACAATACAGATGGCCACAAAAAAAGTGACGTACAAAGTTGATGAAAAACAGTTCTTTGGGGGCACTTACAGGGAAGCGGAAAACAGAAAGACACTGTTTAGTTGACTTTCAGCTTCGAAAAGAAAATGCTTTCAGATAAGGAGGCAGCCCACCGCCACTGAGATTGTGCACCGCAGTGGGCAATCAGCTAGCATGCCAGGAGGCTGAAGGGGGAGAAGGGCAGGAGCGGAAAGGTGTGCCCCTTCCCAGCAGATGATCGTGTATGTTGATGTGTTTCAAGGTTTGGCCTCCCAGTGAATTTCCAAGCGATGCTGCTGCAGCCAAATAGGAAGTCTGCAAAACGCCTGAGAGATGTCCTAAACGTGGTCTTCAAACACCTGGATGAAGTCGCAGCAGCAAGTATAATGGATGTATGTATTCGGACTACGACTGCACTTGCTGTATCTTGTCTCAGTTTAGCCAAATGAACACTTTCACAGTCCAGGGATTAGAGCAAGCACCTGCTCACACCTTGCAATGCCAGGATCCCTGGATGCAGCTCTAATCCCTGGTGGTTACAGATTGGACTAGGGTAACAGGTAGGCTCAGATTATGGTGGAGGTGCGTAGAGATTGCTTACGTTTTCTCCTGAAGCATCTGATGTTTACAGCTACTGGACTGAAATAGGTCTGCTCAATTCTGTTAGTTCCTCTAGGTAAAAAGCTTCAAGTCTTCTGTAAACATTCAGATCAACACAAGCAAGAAAAATGAATTCAGAACTAAGTGCTAGGACCGTGACACCTCCACCCCTGTAAAAGGCTGTCATTGATTAAATACCTCAACCTAGGACTTCAGCAAGCAGCAGTACTTGCTTTCTCCCTCCCCATATCATGAGTGCACAAACAATTTAGGATAAACCAGTAGGTGTTAAAACAGCCTAAGTAAGATTCCCAGTGGATGATGTGAGAAAGAAATGAGTTGCTCTAGAGCTGAAGCACACAAAAATGCTACATGTTCATAAAGTTGCAACCAAGCATGAATTCTCAGTGCTAACTGCATTAGGCAGCCTGAAAACACCAGGCAAACACCACATTCTTAGTGGTGAATTCCTCATCCTAAGCACAGCAAATACAAAACTCCTTTCACCTGTGGAAGAGGAGTGCAAGAGCAATCCACTGTAGCTTGGAACTGTGCAACAGTTTGTTACTGGTACTAAAGCCATACTGTTTCCTTTTGCAGCCTGGCATGGACATCCCTGGTTTACAACTGAGTAATCAAGAATACTATCCTTACGTCTATTTCAAGATTGACCTCAGTCTTCTTGACTGCAGTTAAAGAAAAATTGCTCAAGCTTCATCTATTAATTTTCAAGACCCTAATGTTACAGTAAAACAAACTTTAGCTGCTGAAAGTCAAATTAAAATGCAGATGCTGTAGCAGGATAATTGCATAAGATCTTCCTCCCACTTCCAGTAACTTTTACAGTGACTTCAATATAAATCTCTCTTGTTCATAGTTTTATAAAAACATATTTCGGAGGCAGGAGGTACTATGGTAGTATTTATTTTTTTTGGTAAGTTACAAAGATGGAATATCTATTGGACTTGAAATAAAACAATTTAAAAAGTGTGGTGGCTAATGGATCTAAGTGTGCACAGTTTGTTTTTCTAACAAAGCAAACAAAAAACCCAAACAGAAAAAACAGAAAGCATCAGAGCAAAACCCCAAGTTCTTTGAATTTAAAAAAAGAAAAGCTTAAGAAAAATCCTCAGAATTGCTGTGAAGCTTACTGTAGTATGACTTACAGTCCCACATACTCTTAAGTTTAGTTTTTTGCCAAGACATTTCGGTTAGAACAGTTGCCCTGGATCTCAGCTGCTGGGATGACTTAGAGTTGGAGCACGCTTCCGGCACCAAATTAGCAGTCAAGCTGCTGTCGGCTACCGGTGGTTCTTACACGGCCCTTTCACAGGGATGAGCTATGGGCGACCTCTTAGAGACACTAGGTGACAAATACCCACATTAAGTTATTTCCTTGAAAGGAGGGGAAACTTTCAGTTCTTTCATTCCTTACTTATAAACAAGCTGATCACGTGAGGGTCACGTCACTAGACACCGATACACAAGACATGGAGAGCAACAAAATAGAATAGTATTTTTATTAAAAAAGCAGCAGCAGCCATCCCCATTCCTGATTCCCCTTCCAAGGAAATGGCAATTTCAAATCAAAACAATGCCAGATGGGAAGTGAAGAAATATTAGATCCAATTTGCTGGAGACAGCATCGTGGCGTTTTTCTGTTAGCACCTGGAAATCCTCATGCCCTAAAATGGGGATTAGCTTCACTGCTAATCCTGGGGAAAAGACCAAGAGCTCCCGTGTCTCCCATTGCAGCAGCAACCCCACTTCCCTTGCGTTAATGATCTTACAAAGTCTGGCACAAAGAAAGAGAAAGCCCCTGAGAAGGAATAGGAAAAGGAAGACTAAAGAGCATTTAAACTAAGATTGTCCATCTAATCAGGCTTTAGGCCAAACTGTCAAGATCGTTCACAGCAAGGGGGTGGTGTAGGACTCCCCTCTGCACCTACCTCTCTATTCTACAGTTCATTTTTCAAGAGTCATCCAAAATGGGATAGCTTTTATCATGTGCACCTTTGTTACTCTATACAAGACTAACACTGTGTCAAAAATATTTTGTTTTATTCTTTAATTAAAACAGAAGCTGACCAGGTTCCACCTCCATGAAAAATATCACATTTGAAATTGGTTACACTAACAGCCTCCAGTAACACTCAAACAGCACACTATCAACAAAATAAAAACAAAGATGTTCCAAAGAAATATCCATGTTGTCCTCAAAATATTTGTTACACAGAATACAATCAAGTTTACTGGTTATTGACAATTCATAGAATTTCTGCAATGTTTTCTTGAGATGCGTACAGTTCACTGCTGCAGTGCATCAAACAGCACGGTGTGTCACATGCTATTTCTCCATAAAAAGGCCACTGGAATACCCATCTGATTGTGAACCAGGTTGCAAACTGCTGCGCAAACTCTCCCAAGAAAAGAAGATTCCTGAAGATCTCACAGCTCATCTTTATCCCAGTCATCCAGATCCACATCACTGAGATCAATATCATCTTCAACCGGAAGCTGTGAAAAGGGGAAGGTTTTGAGCACACGTTTAGAAGCGCTTAACACTGGGATGTCACTGACTTTGAAAGATGCTTACTTCATCCCCCCGTCATCTCTTTCATTCATAAAAACTCGAAGCACATTAAGCACAGGACAAGTGATCAGAGTTTAGACTAGAAGGTTGTTTTCTACTAATAAAAATACTCCAGATAAAGGCAAATACAGATAAACTATGTAACAAAGCTACTACCACATTCTATATTTTAATTCCATCTGAAGTAGATCAAAGGATTGTAGTAACTTTGGTTTTTACAGCAATGTTGAACCTTAAGAACATACTCAATCACTGTGTTATTACACGGGCTTTACCTTACAAACTTCCTGACATTAAGACTCTGATGGTAAGGTCAGCACATTGCAGAACCAAAGTCTCCACAGATGTTCAGGTCTTGAATGCATACACTACCACCTCCCTTACTCAGCATGGGTAATAACAGGTTTCACCCTCGAGGGATTCAACCTTCAGATTACATCCTAACAGCTCAGCAGGAGTATGTGTCCACAATGTCAGGTGATGAAGCAGGTGAATCCTGTCCTGATGGCAGGATTTAGATAATGGGAAGCCATCAACACAACTTGCCACAATCTTTGAAGAACAAAAGTTTTCACATTGCCAGTTCTTAGTTACTCTATCCAGTCACTTCTGAACTTAGCAAATCATCAGCACTTTTAGAGATGGAGCACCTCTTACCTCACCATCTTTGCCATCCCAGGGTTCAACTGAATGAATTTTAGGGAAAGCTCCACCACCCACTGGTGCTGTAGAGCCACGACCAACAGACAGTTCCCTGAGAAAAGACAAGTAAAAGTTAAATTTAAGAAATTTTCCCAGTCTGCATCCACTTGGAACAGTGCCTGCTTCAGATAAAAGGAAGTTAACTTTGAAGTCTGCTTGCATCTCTTGAAGTAAATCTAAACTGTCTGGAAGCAAAAGCTTTTCAAATCGAGAAGCAGAAAGTGAAAAACATCCCTTAAAGCAGCATTGTGAATTTACAATAGGATCCAAAGAGACAAGCTATGTGAGCTACATTGTTTCGTATTTCAGCAGCGCCCCTTGTAACACTCATGGATAAACACAGTCCCTTTAACAGTATGTTGTGTATCACTTGAGGCAACTCCAAGAGGAGTCTGTAATTCTAGTTTTGGAAGTCACCTGCAACTGTTACTTGAAATCACTAGTGATCTTTTCAGCGGACTGTAAGCGTCCACAGGTTACAATGGGTATGAGGTAACCAGCTTCTGCGTTGAAACACCCCATCTTGCACTTGCTGGTTAGGCTTGCTCAAAAACCCTAACATTAAAATCCCGAAGAACTAATCCCTGTGCCTTCTTTCAAAGGCTAATAAGACTGAATAAGCATTCCTCCCTAGGTGGGGTCTACAATTTTTATCCTCTTCTCAGTGCTTGTTTCTTTACTTTTGGTCAACACTGTTGAGACTGCCTGCTAGATTACAGAAGCTGCACGCAGCAAGCTGAGTTAACAGCCAGCTACACCAACTGTGATTGTACTGCTTTCTCTAGGCAGCACAAGCTGAGCTGAAGTGTCAAGAGATTATTCCAGCAAGTATTGCTCTGCAGTAAGACAATACCAAACCAATTATCTAATGCAGTATAAGCTGTTAAGTTGGCTGTCATGTCTTGGAAGCACCATCCACCCTAACGGGGAAAAGCTTCCCTAAGATGGATTTCATAGGCTAAGAATTTGCCATGTCTGAGAAAGGCAGACATTTCTCTCACATGCATTAGTACAGACCATCTGGTATTACTCTTCTTGCATCTGAATCCTATATTTTACTTGATGCTCTGAGAACCTTCCCTTTTTGGTGTTAAGAAGAAAGTCTGATCACTTACACAGGTAAGAGAACATAGCACTGTTTCCATTAATCCAGCAGGAACACAGTTCAATTAATGGCTAGGTGGGGAGAGACTTCTGTATTTCCTTTTGCAATTCTGACTGTCCTTTGCCATTCTCCAAGCAAGGACATGAAAATAACACTGCTATGTAAGCTCTCAAAGGCTCTTACGACACCTTATGGCAGCTGGTGTTTCACCCAGAAGCAGAGTTCTCACTTCACTTTGACCAGGCTTTAAGTAACAGTTTAAGTTTAGCTACTCTGTTTCAGCTTCTTTCAGTGCTGCTGCTGCCTTCTGCCCTCCTCCCCGTTCCCTTTCCCCATTCAATCCTTCTCAGCACTGGCTCTTGCCCAACACGCAAGAGGCAGTTTCAGGGAACTTGAGCTGAGCAAAGAGCTACTGACTTTTTGGATGGATTGCTTCAGCTCCCCCCATTAGTTTATCAGATGCCAGTGAAATGGGGGTGGGGAGGGTGGGAGGGGGAAGACAGGACTGGACCAAACGAGAACAATGAACAGCAACATATAGAACCTCAAGAACCTCAGCAGCACCTATTCAGATTCCCAAACTAAGAACTTCCCAATTACTAACCAGAATGCATCATTTGAATTAAATAGTATTGATTACCGAATCCCATTAAATTCTTGGGTTACCAGAGAACCAGAATTTTTCAAGATCAAAACTCACTTCTGTTTTCAAACTGTTTTAAAAAGTTGTGCTAAAACTACCATTTAAGTCTGAATGTCCAACTTAATTCTGTCCGCCACAAAAAGGTAGATACTGCTTTATTAGTTCCAATCCTCACTGAAATCATTCCCTTACTCCAGTGAATGCTCGTCGTCTTAATTCTCTTAATGTGCAAGTCTTGTCTGATCCAGGAGAGCCTTATTTTGCTCTAAAGAGTCACAGTCCCAGTTACAGAAAGATTTAAGTCACTTAAAGATTTCATACCTGAGAAACTCATTAATCCCTTGCTCACTGAAAGATCCTTTCAGAAGGGCAAATTTCATCTTCCGAGCATTAATAGCTGCCATTGCTGGATACCCAAAGCCTCCAATCCCCAAAGAGCTCTCAAGATCTGACTGAGCACCTGCTTCTGTCCACAGCCACCTTGATGAAAAGATAAAATAGAAAATGAAAAATTAGAATAGGCACTACAGTCATTTTGAAATCACACATATCCTGCAACCCTGCAGAGTTCAAGCTGGGCTTTGAACTGCCCTTGACAGTGTCAGCTGTTATTGAAGTCAGCAGGGAATAGCAGGGTCCTGATCTTGAACGACATAACAGAAAAAAAGTCCCTCCTGAACAGCAGCGCTAGGCCAGCCCCATGCTCACAGCCACTGAAAGCTGGATCAGAAGAACAGCCATGAAAGACAGTCCAGGGAAAGAACTATGTTACCAATCCGAACAAATTGCTGCACTTGAGCCTATATTAAGCAAGGTTTAAAATGGGTCAAGCCACAGACCTAAACACAACAAGGTACTGCCCAAATCCCACTGTAGAGGATTTCTGGCCAAAGACCGCAAGACCAATACTTCATTCAGTATTAGTTCCTCACTGGTCAGGTCTCAGTTCCTCTAATGTTTAACAAGTCCCCTGAGGAACCTCTGGAATCAGCCAATCTCAGCATTTTCCCCCCAGGCTTTCATGCCATTTTGCCCCCTTTTCACAGCAGTCAGCGTGTCAGAACAACTCTCACTTCCCAGAGAAGTCCCAGAGATCCTAACATCCACCTGAGAGGAGGAGAAAAGGCAAAGCCTGCTGGCCTGCTTCTTTGAGAGCATGAAATTTGTTAACAACCTGCAATTTACTTTTTTTTTTTTGAGAATTCAAGAGTCATACTGGCAGACTTGCCCACCAGCAAAAGACTCTGAAAGAAACCGGATAAGTAGTGCCCTAAAATATTTTAGTATTCAGGACAGAGTAGAAGATCCTTAATCTGATCTCACTAATGCTTAGATATCACTTGCAAATGCAGGATTTGAGAGGTGGATAAAAAAATCAGCAGTTTATTCTAAAGCCACAGCATCCCCTCCCACAGTACAGTTAGTGAAATACCAAGATACACTATCCTGAACAAGGAAAAAACTCTTATCTGCAGGTAAATCACTATCATACAAATTCTATCCCGTTACCTCTAAGAATGCTTACATCTTTTCCAAGACGACCAGTCTACAATGACACTTACCCCCACATTTTCTTTTTGTATTTTTCAGCCATTTTTAACATGACATCCAGGTAAGAATTCCTCCCTGAAGCTCCTGTTTGTTAGACAGAATCAGACAAGTTAAAAACACAACTACATGCTTTAAGTGACAAATTCATACAGAAGTCTGCTTGCTTGTATATCTACCTGTGTCAAGAATATGAGGCAGGACAGAAATGATGCAGAGCTGATGAGCATCACACGTACTCTTCAGAACATCTTCACCAATTATCTAGAAGAAAGCAGCAGAAAGTCAATGAGAGTAAGAGTTGGTTACCCAGCTGTGACTGCATTTCCCTCCAACAGCCTATCAACTCCATCCTACAAGGTAATAAACATTGAAACAACTTGACACAAAAGCTTACAAGCCTCTTCTACTTCACTGGTCCCCCAACATAAGACTAATTACAAAGAGTTCACAAAGTCTTCTGTTGAGACTTGCAGCAACAGGAAAGTAAGCAGTACCAAATAAGGCTTGCAGAGAACACAGTAAGATGTCACTTCTTGCTCAAAGTCACCGTCCTTTGACCAGGGCTGGAAACAGCACACCCAGACCTGTGCATACGCCTGTAGGTTTCATCTGTGGCACTGCTAGCGTAAGGAGAGCCAGCAGGGTGCAGCATTTGCTGGAGATGAGGATATTTAATCAACTTTAACAGCGCCAATACCAACTTCGTGTGATCTACCTTAAAAGGGAATCAATCCATTTATCTACATCAGTGGTCTCCAAACTTTGATTGTGCACCGCTACCAGTACAAAAAACTTCTAAGCACGCAGCCCCAATATATGTATATTATATACATGTACTACTGTACTAACATTACATACATTAAGGCATACAGAAAAATAGACACTTTAAAAGGATAGCAAAGATGAAATAAACATAATTTTAATTTTTTTTTTTTTCTTTCTGCACCCCAATGGATTGTCTTACATGCACCCTACTTTGGAGATAACTGATCACCATTTCAAATCTACCAACATGAAGCCGAAACTAGAAGCCACCATACAGCGAGTGGAGTTTTTTGGACAACAAGCAAGATTAGTCATCATGCAACTTCTAATGGACGGCTTACAAGTGACAAAACCCTGCCCGCTTGTTGCAAGAAAAAAGATGGGGCACAGAACCCAAACTTTTCACCTGTTCCTCAAGAGAGGATTCAGACACCCTGGTACCATCCTGTAAGTGCCTTCACTGTATCAGTTGTGATAATCTTTCAGTCAACAACAAAGTCACAGTAAAAATTAAATAACAGAAAGCTGAATGACCAGACTTGTTATCCTTGACGTTCTCCTGCAAAACAGTGTGCAAGCAGCACACTTAGGCTGTTTTATTTACAGTTAATAGTCCTGTAAAACTGCTGCAAAGGATATGATGAAAAAGCAATTTGAGAAAATGATGTAGAGTACCTCCAGGAGCTCAGGTGGTGGGGCATTATCAGAAAACAGATCCAGAGCACGAGCAATGATATCAGATCTAGTTCTGCCACCATCATAATCAACAGGGTCTTCTCCCTTCTGGAAGATTTTAATTGTGGGAAATCCACGAATCTGCAAGACAAGTTTAAGCCATCAGCTCAAATAAATCTGAATATTTATGGTAGAAGTTATCTGCTACTTTGATGTGTTCTAGATTAAGAGAAAGGGAAGAGATTTAACACCTACATGAACCAAGTCTCACAGCATGTTTTGACTGTACTGGAACAATTTTGTATCTTCCTACTTGTGCAACAATTCGAAACAAGGCTAACATACACTGAAACACTGTTTCAAGTTTTAGGCCTGATGAATCCGCAATAGTTTTGTCCTGGTTTCAGCAGGGATAGAGTTAATTTCCTTCCTAGTAGCTGGTACAGTGCTGTGTTTTGGATTTAGGATGAGAATAATGTTGATAACACACCGATGTTTTAGTTGTTGCTAGGCAGTGCTTACACTAGTCAAGGACTTTTCAGCTTTCCATGCTCTACTGACTGAGAAGGCTGGAGGGGCACAAGAAGCTGGGAGGGGGCACAGCCAGGACAGCTGACCCCAACTGGCCAAAGGGACATTCCATACCATGGGACGTCATGCTCAGTACATAAACCAGGGGAAAGCTGGCCGGGGGGGCCGCTGCTCGGGGACTGGCTGGGCATCGGTCGGTGCGTGGTGAGCAACTGCACTGTGCATCACTGCTTTGTGTATTATTGTTATTATTTTATTTCAATTATTAAACTGTTTTTATCTCAACCCATGAGTTTTTCTCACTTCTACTCTTCCAATTCTCTCCCCCATCCCAACGGGGGGGGCGGGAGGAGGAGTGAGCAAGCAGCTGTGTGGTACTCAGTTGCCAACTGAGGTTAAACCATGACAAGTTTCATCTCAGTTTCAACGCACCAAGCACTGCAGTTAAGTACCAGGAGGACTACCTTAACTCTTTGTATTTCTTAGACATTAGTTTCCCTATTTGTCTGTGGGGAGGCAGCACTGTGCCTACATGGCAACAAATGAACTTTAAGCTCCCTCTGCTACACTTCCAGTA